TGGCCTCCTCCCTGTCGGCATGAGTATATACAAATTTCCCCTTTTCATAAGGACATTAGTCATATTGGATCAGGGGCCCACCCCACTCCACTTTGACCTCATTTTAACTAATTACATCTGTTTCCAAATAGGCCACGTTCTTAGATGCTGGGAATTAGGATCTCAATGTATGAACTGGGGGGCAGACACAATACAGTCCATAACACCACAAGTGGGGAGTTCCCTGGCAGTCCAGTGGTTAGGACTTCTCGCTTTCACTGCCATGGGCCCGGGTTCAATCTCTGGCTGGGGGACAAAGACCCTGCAAGCCAGGGGATGTGGCCAATAAAACCAAACCAAAACAGACAGGGGCTTGCTTCCCTGGTGGCTCAGTGGTAAAGAATCTGCCTGCCAATGCAGGAGACATGGGTTTGGTCACCCGTCCAGGAGATCCCATATGCCTCGGAGCAACGAGGCCTGTGTTCTAGGCCTGTGTTCTCGGAGCAACAACTGAGCCCACACACCACAAGCACTGAAGCCTTTGCCCTAGAGTCTGCACTCAGCAACCAGAGAAGCCATCGCAATGAGAAACCCACGCACTGCAACGAAGAGTAGCCCCACTCGTCGCAACTAGAGAAAAGCCCACGCAGCAAGGAAGACCTAGCACAGCCAAAAATTAAGAAATAAATAAAAATGTAAAAACAAGCAAACAGAAAAACCCCGCATGTGGCTGGTCCAGCTTTCGAAATGAGGCTGGTTGGACTTGAAATGTGCTATCCAAAATGAATGCTGGATTTCAAAGACTTGATACAAAAAAAAAGAAAAGAATGCACGATCAGTTCAATTCAGTTGCTCAGTCGTGTCTGACGCTTTGCGACCCCATGGACTGCAGCACACCAGGCTTCCCTGTCCATCACCAACTCCCAGAGTTTACTCAAACACATGTCCATCGCGCTGGTGATGCCATCCAACCATCTCAATCTCTGTCATCCCCTTTTCCTCCTGTCTTCCATCTTCCCCAGCATCAGGGTCTTTTCCAATGAGTCAGTTCTGCACATCAGGTGACCAAAGTATTGGAGTTCCAGCATCAGTCCTTCCAGTGAATAGTCAGGACTGATTTCCTTTAGGATGGACTGGTTGGATCTCCTTGCAGTTCAAGGGACTCTCAAGAGTCTTCTCCAACACCACAGTTCAAAACATCAATTCTTTGGCACTCAGCTTTCTTTATAGTCCAACTCTCACATCCATACATGACTACTGGAAAAGCCATAATTTTGACTAGACGGACTTTTGTTGGTAAAGTAATGTCTCTGCCTTTTAATATGCTGTCTAGGTTGGTCATAGTTTTTCTTCCAAGGAGCAAGCATCTTTTAATTTTGTGGCTGCAGTCACCATCTGCCGTGACTTTGGAGCCCCCCAAAATAAAGTCTCTCACTGTTTTCCTTTGTTTCCCCATCTATTTGCCATGAAGTGAAGTGATGAGACCCAATGCCATGATCTTAGTTTTCTGAATGTTGAGCATTAAGCCAACTTTTTCACTCTCCTCTTTCACTTTCATCAAGAAGCTCTTTAGTTCTTCTTTGATTTCTCTCACTATTGACTTATTGATGAAATAATTTCATTTATTAATCATATTGATTATACACCAAAATGATAATACTTCAGAGGCATTATGTTAAATAAACTATATTATTACAATTAAAATTTTCATGTGTCTAAATTTTAATTTAATGTGTTTAAAATTTAAGTCTTTAAATTTTAAAGAGTGTGAAATTACCAGTGTGGCTCCCATTACCCACTAAACAGCCTGAACTAATATTTACAAAGCCCTTAGAACAGGGCCTGGCCCATAGAAAACACTAGGAAAGTGTTAGTTAAATAAAGACTTCTCTTTAAAGGTGACTTGTTACCTGTGGCATTTAAAAAATATGACTTCCCAAGGAGTGAGAAAAGTTGGGGACAAATCTCTTTTCTTGTCTGCCTTTTCTTTGATTTAGAGGATTGTGTTTTACATTCTGGAAGCACAGGGCGTAGGGCTTCCCAAGTGGCACAGTGGTAGAGGATCCGCTGCAATGGAGGAGACACGGGTTCAATTCCTGGGCTGGGAAGATGCCCTGGAGGAGGAGATGGCAACCCACTCCAGTATTCTTGCCTGGAAAATCCCCAGGACAGAGGCGTCTTGTGGGCATCAGAACCGAGGACCCAGGCACGGAGCACACACAGCACATGGCATATGTCATATGGTCCTGCCTTTTCCAAATTGTTTCATGGTATCTTCTCCATGTTGTTATAAAGTCTTCACCCATCATATTAAGCACAGCGGTTTTCTGAAAAGTTGTTTCCAATATTCCTATTAACCACAAACAACTTTAAGCTGGAAATATTTTGTTAGTTAGGATTATTATTGGGTAACCTGGTAAACGATTGAAGGATTGTAATAATAGGTATTGTGAGTAGTTTTTAGAAGAGCTGAAATGGATTTGCAGTCCTGCCAGAAACATATGAATGTCTCCGTTTCACCAACTTATAACAAAATTTATTATCGTTTTTAAAACGATTTTGTGTATGTGTATTTGTGTGTGTTTATTTTGTTTTCTTGCCGATTTATCGGAGGAAAAAGCATGTCTTTGCTTGTATACATATTCCTTTGGTGACCTGGAGGTTGAGTATTAACCACTTGATTATTGCCTCTGTACATTCTCTCTTCTGATAACTGGTGTCTTGCATCCTTTGACCATTCTTATCAATTTGCATGCCTTCTTTAGAATGGCATTTCCCAACCTTTTTTGGAACCAGGGACCAGTTTCGTGGAAGACAGTTTTTCCGCGACCCCCAAGGGCGTGGGGGTTGGTTTCAGGATGATTCAAGCACATTACATTTATTGTGCACTTGATTTCTACTATTATTACATCAGTTTTACCTCAGATCATCAGGCATTAGATCCCAGAGGCTGGGGACCCCTGCTTTATAAGGATATCAATTTCTGTCCCATTTTATTTTTTCCCAAATTCACATTAGCCAATATTGACTTAATGCCTTAATTCCATTTCTTGTTTCACGGATTTTTGTATGTTTATATAGTCAAACCAATTGATTGCCCTTTGTGATTTCTGTCATTGCTTTTAAGTGCAGATCATCCCCTTCTAGAAATGTGGTAAGCATCACTTTTAGTTTCTTTTAGCCTTTGGTAATTTCTTTCATTTTTTTCCCTTAAGATTTAAAATCCCTCCAGGACAGTACTGCCCAAATGAAATATAATGCAAGCCACAAATGTGAGCCACACATGTAATCTTAAATTTTCTGGTCATCACATTCTTAAAAAGTAAAAATAGAAAAGGTAGAGAGCCCAGAGGACTTTTAGGGTAGTGAGCTTGTGAACTTACTCTCTATGATACGACAATGGTGACTATGTCATTATATATTTGACCAACCCAAAGCATGTACAACACCAAGAGTGAACCCTAACATACACTATGGGTGACAACGTTGTAGATTCATTGATTGTAATAAATGTCCCATCTGGTGGGGGGTGTCCACAGTTGGGAGGCTGTGGGGTGAGGGGACAGCGGGTATATGAGAGCTCTCTATACTACTTTCTGCTCAATTTTGCTGTGAATCCAAAACTGCCCTTAAAAATAAGTTTACTAATTTAAAAAATTATAGATTATTTTTAAAAAAACAAAAAATAAAAAATTATAGATTATTAAAAAGTGAAAAATATGGTGCAATTAATGTTAACAATATTTTAACCCAATATATCAAAAAATATCATTTCAACATGTAATCTGTACAACAATTAATGAATGAACTATTTCATTTCATTTTGGGGACTGCTGTCTTCAAAATCTGGTGTGCATTTCATAGTTACAGCTCATCTCCATTTGCACTAGTGACAAGCCACGTTCCCAATCCTGGACCACACATGGCTGGTGGCCACCAGCTTGGCTAGCGAAGCGCAGAACGTGGTTTGACCCCAAGTGAGGACAGAGGGTAAAGGTTCCAGTGACCAGACTAACCACCCTCTTCACCTTCACCTCCCACCTGCTCCTCTCCCTCGAAAATTCCTGCCCAGGCAACCTAGGTTTTCTCACCATCCCTGGTGACCTCTGCCTAGCTCTCGGATGCTGCCCTGGACACCTGCGTCAGCTGCCCAGCACCTTGGACTTCCCAACCCCTCCGCCACCCGCCTGGGACTGCCATCTGTCCACTGCCACCTCCCACTCCCAGCCTTTGGGCTGAGGAACTCACCCCGGGGACGGAGGGTGCATTTTTAGCTCTCTACCCCAGCAGGCCATTGCTCTGGTGACAGTCTCAACAGTAATAACTATGATTAGGAACACATCCTGGGTTGCCTTATGTAATCCTTCAGACTATCTTTTTTTTTTTGGCCAAGCCTCAGGGCATGTGGGATCCTAGTTCCCCAACCAGGGATGGAACCTTCAGCAGAGGGAAGTCTTAACCATTGGACCGCCAGGGAAGTCCCTCCTCCAGGCTATCTTGAAGGCTGAAACCATTCTGCATCCCGGCTAGGGAGCACTGGCAAGTGCCCAGCCTGTGGTCAAGACCAGGGGAAGGTTGGCAGAAAGGCATGGGACCACCTGGAGGGGTGAACTGAATTTATTAAGTTTGTTGGGAAGGAGATCTGGTGTGATCCCTGAAAGTTGCCCACGTGTCTTTGATGCCCCCCTGTCTTGCCTGTCCCTGGGACACTGTGGGAGCCCCTGGGATGAGGTCGCCAGGAGGTGGAAGGAGCCTGGTGGCCCCCCCCATTCCCCGACCCCCGCCTGGAGTCTGTGCTCTGGGATCCCTCTGGGTCAGGTCACCTCCCTGCCCCGGGTAGGGTGTGCCTTAGCGACTGTGGGAAAAGTCCCTGAGCCAGGCGCAAAGCTGGCGGGACGGGGCGGGGAAGGAGGGGTGCTCTCCAGGGCGTGGGGGCGGGACCAACATCCGACGCGCCCGGCAAAAACAGGCCAGGCGGCGGGGCGGGCAGACTAGTCCTGGACACTGGGGCTCAGGGCACCATGAGCGGCCGAGTTGGGGACCTGAGCCCCCAGCAGCAGGAGGCTCTGAGCCGGGTGAGGAGCTTCGAGGGCGTCGGGGTGGCTTGGGGAGGGGCCGAGCAGCCCCCAGGGCACTGCCGCGAAAGGGGACCCTGGAGAGCGCGCGTCTAGCCGGTGGCTCCAGCGCACAGGTTGTCCAGGGAGCTGGGCACCCACCTGGGCCAGGAGCCCCCATCTCTGGGCCTCTCTGCGACTCAGCCCAGCCCTGCCGGCGCCCGGCCACCGAGCCCTGTCCCTTGAGGAAGGTGGAGGAGGATGGCCCTGCCTTTTGCACTGAGGCAGCCTTGGGCAGACAGCCGCCCGGGTCTCCTGCCCAGATTGCAACCTTTGGTTTCTCTCTGTGGCTTTCTGAATCCGCAGGCCCCAAGCCTTCTCCCTATTGTTAATGTTTTCATTAAAGGGAAATGGTGGGGGGAGGGGATTGGTGCTATCGAGACCGTCCTATGGGACTCACCTGAAACTGAAAGTGAAGTCGCTCAGTCGCTCAGTCGCTCAGTCTCCTCCGACTCTTTGCGACCCCAGGGACTGACTATAGCCTCCCAGGCTCCTCCGTCCATGGGATTTTCCAGGCAAGAATGCTGGAGTGGGTTGCCATTTCCTTTTCCAAGACATCACCCCAACCCCGGTCTCCCGCATTGTAGGCAGACACTTTTACCGTCTGAGCCACCAGGCTAGTCTGGGGCTCACCTGGTGGTGTCTCAACCATGAGGCGGGCTCAGGTGCTACAGCATTAATCCTGTTTGCCAGAATTCCTTGGCAATCCAGTGGTAGGACTCATATTGTGGCCTGGGTTCAATCCCTGGTCAGGGAACTAAGATCCCACATCCCTGTGGCATGGCAAAAAAAAAAAAAAAAAATCGGGTTGCAAATGGCCAGAGACTAGAAACTGTGAATTCGGGGTGACAGGGCGGGGGGCATGAGGGTATCACAACCATTGTTGTTCAGTCGATCAGTCATGCCTGACTCTTTGCGACCCTATGGACTGTAACCCACCAGGCTCCTCTGTCCATGGGATTCTCCAGGCAAGAATACTGGGGTGGGTTGCCATTTCCTTCTCCAGTCACAACCGTGGCTCCCACCTGAAGCCTGTGAAAGGGCAGTTTCAGACTCTGGAGAAGGGTTTCTTTTGAGGATCCTAGTTTGTGAGCCTCACGTGTATCTGGCACCTGCCACAAGCCAGGCCTGAAGCTAAAGGCTTTATCTTCACAAACTCCTTTGACTGGCACATATGTATCATTATCCCCACTTCACAGATGAGAAACTGAGGCTCAGAGAGGTTAAGCTACTTGCTTCCAAGTCCAGACCCTCATGATGCAATATCCAGGCAACATCTCCAGAATGTTCTGGTGGGCCTGCATCAGATTCACCGGGGATGTTTGTAAAAACAGAGGTGGCACAACCCTCCCTCGAACCTACAGCACAAGGGTCTTGTGGGGCAAAGAAACCCTCAGGTTTGAGAAGGATCCAACTCTTCCTGCCATGGTGGGCTGAGGGCTGGCCCATTCCCAGGTTGCAACCTGGGCATGTGCTGCTAACTCTGCAGGGTCCCTGGGCAGGACTGACCAGCAGAGTGAGGCTGGGAAGGTCTGGGACAGGGTTGGGATTGTGGGAGTGCCGCTGACCATTATATCCCCTCCCTCAGTTCCGGGACAACCTTCAGGACCTGCTCCCCACACTGCCCAAGGCTGATGACCACTTCCTCCTGCGCTGGCTCCGAGGTGAGGCCAGCTGCGGTCAGTGGAGTCTGACAGCGGGGCGGGGGGTGGGGTGGGAGTGGCTTCAGGAAAGCGGGTGGGAGACTCTGGGGGACAGCCCTGAAGAGTGGACTGGAATCTCAGTTCCCATCCAAATCGGCACAGCACAAAAATCCTACGGAGCCTCAGTTTCTTCATCCATAAAGTGGGCATGAGGCTACCTCCCCAAGGGTTGTTATGAATTAAATGAGAGGGTGTAGTGCCTGGCATGGCTGGGCAACAGGGTGAGGTGAGGTTAGAGGTAACATCTGGGAAGTTCTCAGGATGACAGGCCTGGCCAGGTCTTGAGTAAATACCACTGAACTGTCTTCAGGCCTTGCCCTTGGGTCTGTCTCCAGTTTCTTGAAGACAGAGCTTCAAGTGTCGTTCTCTTAGGGATCTGACACCACGTGCCCAATGAACATTCAGAGAGTGGGTGTAATTAAAGGCAGGGGAAGAATTTCCTCTAGGAATTGCCGCAGTAGTGCAGAATAGTTAGAATGACAGAAACCACCCTAGAACTTAGGGGGAAAAATTCATGTCATCTCAGCATACCCCATGGAATGGCTTTTGAGCTTGAGCCAAGAGAGAAGTCAGAAGCCAGGCTGGAATCAGACAGAACAGTGATTGCTAGCAGGGTGCCCATACAAGTTGCCTCACTTTCCTGGTCTGTGTAATACTGGTCTCTACCTTCAAGATGCTGTGAGTCAGACCTGAGGTCATGGGCACACACAGAGCCTGCACAGAGGAAGGCCTCCCTTCTGTTCTATTTCATTTGACTGTGTTTTTTTTTAATTATTGGTTTTTTTACAAACTTTATTTTTAGAACCATTCTAAAAAGATTTACAGAAAAATTGTGAAGATAGTACAGAAAGTTCCCATAGATGCTGCATATTAACACTTTACTTTCATATGTTTGTGACAATTAATGGACCATTATTGCTATGTGATTAGTAATTAAAATCTGTGTTTTATTTAGATTTGCCTAGTTTTTTTTCCATTCTGGGATCCCATCCAGGACACCACATTACATTTTCTTGTCTTGTCTCTTTAGGCCCTCTTGGCTGAGGCAGTTTCTATTTCATTTTTAATGTCTTTTCCCCCACCCAAGCTAAAAAAGGACTTGGAACAGTCGATTTCTTTTCTTTTTTTTTTTTTAACTTGGAGTATAATTGCTTTACAATGCTGTGTTAGTTTCTGCTGTACAACAAAGTGAATCGTTTCTGTGTTACATGCATCCCCTCCCTCCTGACCTTCCCTCCCCCCACCCCCATCCCACCCCTCTAGGTCATCACAGGGCACCGAGCATCCCACTCGCTGTCTGTTTCACAGTGTCTATACATCAGTGCTGCCCTCTCAGTTCGTCCCTCCCCTGTGTCCACACATCCATTCTCTACACTGCTATTCCTACTCCACCAATAGGTTCATCTGGACCATTCTGGGGACGGTAGATTTCTTAAAGCCACCTGATATAGCCTCAGACCTCTCCCCTCCTCCTTTGAATCTTTTTGGGTTTAAAGATCAGCTTTTCAGGTACCTCTTGAGTCTTAGATAAAAGAGTGAAATGTATGCACTGTAGGCGGCTGGGTCAGGGGAAGAAAAAGGACCTAAGACAGGAAGAGGGTGCCAGGCATCCGGCGCCTCCCCTTCACCATGCAGATCTGCTGATGCGGCTCTGCCCCCTTCAGCTCAGCTCTCCTCCAAGCATCACAGGCTCCAGACAGGACCAAGGGCCAGGGCTGAGCTCAGCTGGATGCAGAGGAGCCTTCCTGGCCCTCTCAGGCCGATTCCTTTGTTTTCCTTTCTCCCCATCCCTCGTCTAGGTCCTTCTGTCCCTCTGGGGTGCCAGCTCCTCCAGGGCAGGGACTGTGCCTGCCCCGTGCTCCCAGCCTGACGTATAGTAAAATAGTTTTGAGGACCCAGCAGCAGTGTTCAAACCACTGTCTATAGGACCAGAAGCCATCCTCAGGTTCTCAGTAGAAAAATCTCCTAGAGACATCTCACAGAGATTTTTTTTTAAGCCAATAAAAGAATATCGGGTATGATTATGCACTAACAAATTTGAAAATCTAAATGAAATGGATACATTCCTGGAAGAAGAAAAAGAAAGCCCTCAGTAGATCAGTAAACATGTAAGACATTTAAATATTAATAAAAACGTCCCCTCCCCTCCAAACTCAGACCACAAATGGCTTTGCAGGTGAATTTGTCCACTTTTAAGACCAGCTAATTTCTCAATATACAAATTGTTTGAGTTGTTTTCAAATATATGAAAGAGTGAGATTTATTTTATGAGGCTTGGGTACGTTTGATTCCCAAGCTAGCTAAGGACAATAAAAGGAAATTCTAGGCTCATTTTACTTACTAATGTAGATGTAAAGAAGTCTAAATAAAATATTACATAACAGAATCCAAGAAGGTATTAAAATTATGCAACAGTATCAAGGAGAGTTTATCTTGGGTATGCAAGAAAAGTTCAACATCAGAAAACCCAGGGAATTCACTGGTGGTCCAGTGGTTAGACTTAGAGATTCCACGATCCCTAATCAGGACGATCCCACAAGTCACGCAGCCAAAAAAAAGAAAAGAAAGGAGAACCTATCAGTGTCAACAAACACATTAATGGAGTTAAGGATAAGAAGTTGTATGGCTATCTCAGTGCAGAAAAGGGCATCAGAAAAGGTTCAAATTTTATTTATAAGACAAAAGTCCTTCATGACCTCCTTTGAATAACTCTTAAAATGATAGTCCCAGATAAACTAAGGCTCAGAGAATGGAAGTGACTTACTCATGGTGGCACCGCAAATAAAAGGACAAAACTGGAGTTTAAGCTCAAATCTGACTCCAAAGCCCATGCTCTTACCACTCCTAATACCAGGAGCATCTCTGCTCCCTGGGGGATGTTAAATATTGCAGGCTAGATCAGCTCTAGAGTGAACAAGTTTACACATGATCTTAGCCGAAAGGCCGAGAAGCGATAGAGTGAACAAGTTTAAAAGACCTGGAGCAATTTCTCTGGTGGTTCAGTGGCTGAGTCTCTGAGCTCTTTCTTAATGCAGGAGACCCTGGTTCGATCCCTGATCAGGGAACTAGATCCTACATGCCGCAACTAAGAGTTCGCATGCCACAACTAAATATCCCACGTGCTGCAACAAAGACTGAAAAGCCTGTGTACTGCTACTAAGCCCCAGCACAGCCAAATAAATAAGTATCTTAAAAATAAAGGCCTGGGTACTGTATAGCACAGGGAACTATATTCAGTATCCTGTAATAAACCATAATGGAAAAGAATATGAAAAAGAATATATATGTATGTATAACTGGATCACTTTGCTGTAGAGCAGGAATTAATACAACATTACAAATCAACTATATTTCAATAAAGTTTTTTTTTTTAAGCCCTGGAAAATGAAATCAGGAGCCTTCCACAGTCTTCAAAAGGATTAAAGATCCTTGCTTTAAAAAAAAAAAAATTTCCAGGCCTCACAGTGTATTCCTGGAGCATCAGGAAAGTGTACCCTCCTCGCCCCCGGAGCTTGTCTCTTTATGAGCTGTCAGAGAACGGCTTATGCTGCATTCTGCCTCCAGCCTCCTCTTACCGCACCGCCTTCTTCTTGCAGCCCGGAACTTTGACCTGCAGAAATCAGAGGACATGCTCCGTAAGGTGAGACACTGTGCTCACGAGCACCCTGTCTCCTGCACGTTGCACACCAGGAGTTATCCCCAAGGACTATCGACAAAGGCCAGGGCCTCTCGCCCAGTCCTGTTCTGTGCTTCTTCCTTCCCCCTCCTTCCCTTTCAGCGCTGTTGGTGGCCCCTGGGGTGGCTCTGGCAGGATCCTGGTGTCCGTGGGCGGAGGGGCGTGGCCTGTGACCTCCGGGGCGGGCGGTCTTCAAGCCCAGCTGTGCCTCCGCAGCACGTGGAGTTCCGCAAGCAGCAGGACCTGGACAACATCCTTGAGTGGAAGCCCTCAGAGGTGAGCCCACGTGGGGTCCCCCAGGCCACTGCTGCCCCCTCAACTCACCCACCACGTCCAGCTGCCCGAGGGAGCGGGGAACCAGCCTGGTGGGCTGCTTCGAGCTGGGCCCTCACCCCATGTCCAGGTGGTCCAGCGGTACGACGCCGGTGGCCTGTGCGGCTACGACTACGAGGGCTGCCCCGTGTGGTTCGACATCATCGGGACCATGGACCCCAGGGGCCTCCTCCTGTCAGCCTCCAAGCAGGAGCTGATCCGGAAGCGCATCAGAGTCTGCGAGTTGCTTTTGCACGAGTGTGAACAGCAGAGTCAGAAGGTATGCGAGCGGGTAGAGGGCACGTGGTGGGTCCAGTCTCTCTAAAGGGTGGTACCAGGACCCACTTGGGAGGCAACCGCTCCTCCCTAGCCTTCAGCACCACTGGGCTCTGCTTCTCCTGCAGTCACCCTTGCACGAGCGTCTAACACACGCGTGCCATTCTCTGCTGGTGTGCACCAAGGGTGGCCAAAGCCCTTCCCCTCTGACCTTGGGTGAGATGCTGACCTTGGTGCTACGAATCCTCTCGCACTGTTCCCCCGGATCCCTGGGAACAGTGGGTGGTCAGCTTTGCTTACAGAAAGGATGTCCCTTGATTGTGTAACTGTGAAACCTGATGGGGGAGCCATTGCTTTGGACATCCCCAAAAGCTGGTGACCCTTGAATCTGGGCACATCCTTTGTGCCCCTAGGGAGTTACCACCAAAAAATGTGGGGCACGGGGCTTCTAAGCCAAGAAGAACCACACCCACCTTTGCAGGTCTTCTCCTGGCCCCTGACTCTGCGTTTCCTGGTCACTAGCCTTCAGAGGGAATATAATGCCAAGTGTGGCTGGGTTGGTTTTGTGAGTCTTAAGTGTCTAAAGCTGTTATGGCACTGTGGGATATTATGGCTAATATATATGTGTCCTCATGGGACTCCACTCGAGGACAGGGCCTGTGTCCCCAGCGTCTGGCACAGAGCAGGATGCAAAATAGACCCCCCCACCGAGATTTGTGGCAGGCAGGAGAGAATTACCTAATGCTGTGTGTCGTGCCTGGTTTGAACACATGTGTGTTCTCTTGTAAGATGGCTCACTTATAGGCTCAAGGCAGTGTCTCCCACTTCACAGATGTTCCCAATCAGAGCCAGGAGTTACGGTGATGACACTGGTATCTGTTAAGATTCAACAGGCACTGGCTTTGTTGAATCCTCACAGCAGATCTCTCAGGGCCCGGAATTATCCCCATCTTACAGAGGAAGAAAGTAAGGCTCAGAGGGATTAAAAATCCACCCAAGGCCTGGTGACTCAGATGGTTAAGAATCTGCCTGCAATGCAGGGAGACCCAGGTTCGATCCCTGGATTGGGAAGACCCCCATGGAGGAGGGAATGGCAACCCACTCCAATATTCCTGACTGGAGAATCCCATGGACAGAGAAGATTGGTGGGCTGCAGTCCCTGGACTCAGAGTCGGACACGACTGAGCAACTAACACTTTCAAAGCCACACAGCCCCCCCAGCAGCAGTTCTGGCTTGGACTCACCTGTGGGGCTGCATCACTGGCTGACAAGTATACTACTGTATGTGAAGATGACCTGTGAACAACTGATGTCTTTAATCACAGTTAACTCATTCCAGGCTACAGTGTTGAGCAGTGTGTGGGGGCCACCACGCTAAGGCTCAGAGGTGGCACCTGCTTAGGGCCTGGATGGGCTCTGTCTGTTTGGAAAATGCTGTGGGCAGCTGGGGGGAGGGGGCAGGACGGTGGAGGGAGGGTCCTCCTGGCTGGAGCCGTCATCTGATCCGAGTACCCGCCCTGTCCCGTGCAGCTGGGCAGGAGGGTCGACACAGCCGTGATGGTGTTTGACATGGAAGGGCTGAGCCTGAGACACCTGTGGAAGCCAGCGGTGGAGGTTTACCAGCAGGTGAGGTCGGAGCCACACTGCCCGCACCAGCTTCTGGTCCATGGACGAGGGGTCACTTCCCAGGGGCCCCAGACAGCAGCCAGTGAAGCTGACCTGGGCATCCACCCTCCAGGGAGAAAGAGTCTGAACAAGAGCTCCACTGAGGATGATGGCCATGCTCCCGGGGAAGATGGGATGGGCTGCTGGGGTGGGGGAGAGGGGCTCTGGGGGGCTCGTGTCTCAGCAGCATCAGGGGCCACAGAAAATCCAGGGGCTGGAGGTGTTGGAAGCTGGCCTCGCTCAGACTCATCTTGACCCAACAGTTTTTTGCCATTCTGGAAGCAAATTATCCGGAGACGATGAAGAATTTAATTGTTGTTCGAGGTGAGTCCACAATGGGGATGACCTCCTGGGGTGGGAAGGGTGAGGAATGGGGGAGGGGGACAGCGGGGAAGCCACCTAGACCAGGGACTGTCAAACCGTCCTGGGTGGAGAATGGGTCTTTGTTTGTTCAGCTCAGTCCTTTGCTGATTCTTTTGGAATATGCAAATCACGCTCTCGTGTGCTGCAGCAATGTCAAATACGCCATGTCTCTAAATGTTTACTGTTATTTTCTTTACCGACCTGAATGGGGACTGGCATCAGAGAGTCCATGGACTGAGAATCCATGGAGTGGAAACAGTCCGTGCCTGCAACAGCTGTATGACAAAGGGCTCACTGCATGTGTTCTAGGGTCAGATGATCTGGCTTACCATCAAGTCTGTGGAGCAAATCAAGGTCACCTCATTGAGCCTCAGTTTTCCCATTCTGTAAACTGGGGATACAATGGCACCTTCCCTATAAGGTAGCTGTGAGGTTACATGAGATAGTCTCTGGGGAAAGTGTAGCACAGAGCCTGGTCCATAGAAAGCACCCAGTAAGCTTGAATCATCCTGGTGGAACATGAGGTCGAATGCAGTTGCCTCCTCCTTGCACCCAAGAGGGTGCCAAGGCAACGTGGGCAAACCGTGAGTGTGGAAAGGAAGAGGCACCCCTGGGGAATCAACACTGCTGATGCCCTACAACAGGGGAAGAAGAGGCAGCCATTTATTGTATCATTCCATCTCCACTTTTCAGTTAGGAGTGCTTAGCCTCAGAGAGGGTGAGTAACTGAAGGTCTCACAGCAGGAAATGGCAGCATCTAGGTCTGTCCAGCCTCTGTCCCACCCATGCCCTTGGCTGTGACCCTGTGTATCCAGGTCCTCTCCCGTCCAGCTTCTCAAGGGAGTTTGTGTGTTCCAGCCCCCAAGCTGTTCCCCGTGGCCTTCAACTTGGTCAAGTCATTCATGGGTGAGGAGACCCGAAGGAAGATAGTGATTATGGGAGGTGAGTGATGCGGCCTCCCAGCTGTGCCACTTTCGCATCTGCCTGGAAGCAGAGGCTGATGCCAGACGCTCCATTCCTCCGTAGCTCCTCCTCTTTACTCAGGCCCTGACCTTGGCCTCAGCCCTCAGTGACCTTTGCACACTCATTCGAGGCTCCGGGACCTAGATGATGGCCTGGGTGGCCATGCAGAGCGCCTGGGTGTTCTCAGGAGTTGGTGCCCAGGAGAGCCAGCATAGGACACATCAGGTCTCTCCCTGGGCTTGGCCCCACTGCCCTCTCTTGAGCCCCCGACCCTCCATGGTGCCCCACTTTTTGTCCCCACAGGCAACTGGAAGCAAGAGCTGCCTAAGTTCATCAGCCCCGACCAGCTGCCTGTGGAGTTCGGGGGGACCATGACTGACCCCGATGGCAACCCCAAGTGCCTGACCAAGGTCTGGTGCCCGGAGGATGGGGAGGGAGGGGGATGCCGGGGGGTGGTGCCCGCTCACCACTCTCGCCCACAGATCAACTACGGGGGCGACGTGCCCCAGCATTACTACCTGCACAACCACGTGAGGGTGCAGTACGACCACCAGGCGACCGTGGGCCGAGGCTCCTCCCTGCAGGTGGACAGCGAGGTCCTGTTCCCAGGCTGCGTGCTCAGGTAGGCACAGCGCCCCCCCACACACACACACGGGGGCGTAGTCGGGAGGGCCCCGGAGCCCAGGCAGGGGGCAGTCAGTGCGGCCCTGTCCCCTGCAGGTGGCAGTACGCGTCGGACGGAGGGGACATTGGCTTCGGGGTTTTCCTGAAGACCAAGATGGGGGAGCGGCAGCGGGCCGGGGAGATGACGGAGGTGCTGGCCAGCCAGCGCTACAATGCCCACATGGTGCCCGAGGACGGGAGCCTCACCTGCACGGAAGCCGGCGTCTGTAAGAGCTACAGGGTTCACTGGGGTCGCTTTCCTCCTCATGGCGGAGTAAATGAGCTGACATCTCTTGCCCGTCTGGCCCCTGTTTGCTCCTATTTCCAGCTCTCGGGGTGGGTGTGGGAGTCTGTGCAAGCTCCTAGATACCCCCGAAGCCAGGGGCATCAGGCTTCAGGTGTTGGATCTGAGGAGAGGCCCCCAGGCATGGGTGCAGGGACGGAGAGGCGTGGTGGAGTGCAGGGTTCGAAGCCCTGTGGACTCAGCTCCTGGGAAGACCCCCCCTCAGCACACTCTACAGGCTAAATGAGAGACAGCTGGAAAACAGCCACGAGCTCAGCGTCAGGGCTCCCAGCCTGCCCACCCGCATGGACCACCCAAGGAGAAGACCCTTCCAGGTGTTTGTCCCCTATTCCCAGGCCTCTCGGGCTGGTCAGTTTTGGCAGAAGCGGTGTTGCCCAGGACCATCGCTGACCTCCCACCTCTGCGGGGAACAGCACTAGGGGAAGGAGACCCAAGGTTGATGTTCCCTGCAGAAGAGGAATGAGTTCAACCAGGGCTTCCCAGGTGGCGCTAGTGGTAAAGAATCCGCCTGCCAATGTAGGAGGCATGAGATGGATTTAATCCGTGGGTCAGGAAGATCCCTTGGAGGAGGAAATGGAACCTACTCCAGTTTTCTTGCCTGGAAGAGCCCATGGACAGAGGAGCCTGGTGGTCTACGGTCCATGGAGTCACAAAGAGTCGGACATGACTGAGTGTCTGAGCTGGTCACATCTAGTTCACTTTTGTGGCAAAGCAGGGATTAGAAGGGTGCATACCGAGAAACCTGATGACTCATCAGATCCAGATTCATGCTGGACCTTGGCAGTGAACAAAATGCCTCTAAAAGAGACGTAAGAGGGACTTCCTGGTGGTCCAGTGGTTAGGACTCTGCACTCCCGATGCAGGGGTCACAACCCACCACCTGCTGGGCTCTGGGCCCCTCCCAACGACGCCCAGGTATGGGAGGGTCACATGCCTATCTGAGCACACAGCCCGGGAACTGGATCTCATTGTCCACCTGGTTGGCAAACTAGGATCCCACATGCTCACAGCATGACCCAGAAGTTTATTTTTAAGATAATAAAAATTTTAGGGACCTCCCAGGTGGTCCAGTGGCTGAGACTCTGCATTCCCAGTGCAGGAGACCTGGGTTCGATCCCTGGCCGGGGAACTAGATCCTGCATGCCACAGAAAAGTCTTCTCATGCCACTGCTAAGACCTGGTGCAGCCAAATAAGTAAAATAAAAATATTTTTAAAAAATAATAATTTTTTTTAAAGACATGAGATGGGGAAAGTAGGGATCCCCTCTGGGTTGGAACATCAGGATAAGGGAATCCCAGTCCCTCCCCTCACTTGCTCTGGAATCATCAGAAGGTCTTACCAACCTCTGTAAGCCTATATCCTTATCCATAACATGGGTATGATCATACTTTCCCTGGGGCCACTTTGAGGATTCAGGGAGCTGTGAGCAACTGATGTGATGCCCATAGATGGGCTGATGCATGCTGGTGGTTACTATGACTCCTGTGGTTAGCACAAGCATCAGCTAAGGAGACCCCCTGCCCAAGGGCACCTGGGTGGGCAGGTATGCCGGGCTCGCTTTGCCTGCTTCCTCCTCTGTCTTTGCAGACGTCCTGCGCTTCGACAACACCTACAGCTTGATACACGCCAAGAAGATCAGCTACACCGTAGAGGTGCTGCTCCCCGACAAGGCCTCTGAGGAGAAGATCCAGGGTCTCGAGGACTCAAGACAGTCCCCAGCACAGTGAAGACCCCGCCGCCCCTGTGCCCGAGCTCTCCGACCCCTCAGCACCCTGCCCTGTCCCTGCCCTTCCAGGCAGAGCGGTGTTGGAGGGGACCACGGAGAGCCTCCCACCTCACCTCGCCTCGCCTCGCCTCGCCGTCTCAGCTCCTTGTGGGCCCACCTTGCTCGGTGGCCCAGCAGGAAGGAGACGCCCAGTGTGTGGCCCACGGGAAGATCCTGACAGACACCCCATCCCCTGTTCACAGGGAGAACCCTGAGGATAAGCTGGCATCCAGGAGGAAAGGTCCTGCCTGCAGAAGCTGCCCTTTTGTCCTTCCCGACATGGTGCCCCCCATCCCAGAGCGCACCCACGCCTGGCCCTGGTTTGGGGGGGTGTGCCTGAGCCCCGGCTGCAGGGAGCACTGCTCAGGCCGGAAGAGCAGGGAAGCCCCATTCTCCCCACGTAGGGGCTCTGCAGGGATGCGCAGGGAGGCGGCTGAGGAGAGGGATGGGCAGGGCTGGCGGGGGGTGGGGGGTCCTCTGTTCTGACAGAGTGCCAGCTCTTCAGGTTGGCTGTACCGCCTTTGGAGGGAAAATCAGAAATAGAGAGTGAGCCCTGGCAGGGACAGCCATCAGGGGGAAGAGCCACACTCAGGCTTCCGCAGAGCCGAGTCTCCCAGGAATTCCCAGTGTCCCCCCACCCCACCCCCACCCGCTGTGATCCAGCCGACCTTCAGCCTGGTTCCTTTCCGGCTCTGAGCGGGGGCCAGGACCCAAGAAGCGCTGGAGGGAGCTGCAATGGGCGTGCTGGGGTGCAGAGTGGAGCTGCCATCCCAGGGCACCCATCCTGGATTCGGACTTGCTCCTTAGGAGAACCATCAGGCTTTTCCTCCATCTTTGCGTCTCACCAGGGGGACAGCTGAAGGTCGGCTGCCAACCCTCCTCCTCCCGCGCCCCAAATGCGACTCGGCAGCGGGCCAGTGAAGGCTCTATTCCTCAGTGGCTGGCTCTCCCGGGCCCACAGCCCACAGTCAGGACCACCGCCTGCTCTGCTGGAAGGACCGCACCCAGCAGGAAGCTGCCGAGCTGACTGTGGTTCTGAGGTTGACTCTAGTTGGCAACGAGGCCATCTACCGGGGCCTGGGTGTGCTGCCCCGCCACCCTGCCCCCTGCCTCCTGCCCTCTGGCTGGGCCAGGCCAGCGGCCCCCAGTTCCTCTGAAGACCTGGCCCCAGGCTCTGGACCCCTGCTCCCATACCGCTGTCCCACAGGGTGGGATGCCGGCCACTCGGGTGACATCCCGGGAGTGGCCGGACGTCCCTGTGAAAGGGGTCCTGGCTGCCAAGCATTAGCATCCTGGCCGCCCAGGCCCTTCCCAGGGACCGGAAGCCGCCTTGAGCCCCACTCTCCAGGTGCTTTGCCAGCAAGAAGCCCGCCTCTGGTCCCTTCCCCACTCTCAATCTCTGTGCTCTCATCTTCCCTGGTTAATAAGAGGTTTCTCGATTTTCCAGAGCCCGTTTTAGGCAAGGACATAATGAGGCTTGGGAGGGTGGGGGTCTTCCGGTGAGCCAGGTGAGGCCCTTTAGGCCCAGCCCTCCTGCTGTGGCCCCAGCCCTCCATCCACCGCGAGCGATGGAGCACAGAGTCTCAGCAGGGGCAAAGCAAACTGACTGGGTGAAACTGAGTGAGCGCCAGTACTTCCCTGGCGGTCCAGTGGTTAAGACTTCGCCCTCCAATGCAGGGGGTGTGAGTTCAATCCCTGACTGGGGAGTTAAAAATCCCACATGCCTCAGGGCTAGAAAACCAAAACATAAAGTAGAAGCAATGTTGTAACGAATTCAATAAAGACTCAAAAACATAGTCCACATCAAAAAATCTTTAAAAAAAAAAAAGAAACTGAATGTCATAAGCCAATGCTACAAGGCACTCTTAGTCCAAAAGCGTGTTTAAATAATTTGGTAAGAAAAAAAAAACTGCCTCATCATCACCAAGGGGACAGCCTGGGGCCGTCAGAAAAAAAGTCACACAGCATCTCCTGTCCAAGAGCATTCCCACATCCCGGATGTGGTAGGCTTTCCCATCACCCCAGTTGCACAGGTCACCCTCTGTGCAGCCTCTCAGTTGAAGGGACATCGAGAGCCCACAGGGTCCTGGCTTCCCAGGGCCATGTTCCCACCACCCATGGCAGGCTGTGGGGGCCACAGCCAAGGGGAGCAAGGGGGCCCTATGCCAGGTTTCACTGGGCCCAGCTGTCATGATGGAGACTCCCAGGGCCCTCCTGCCACCTTCACGTCCCTCGCCAAGAAACAAGGGGTTTGTGGATATGAACACTGACCCTGGCCTTTCTAACCACCCAGAGCCAACGGCCTAACCCTCAGCACTGCCTCGCATGGTTTGCTTGCAGGCAGCAAAGACTGCTCTGTCCCAAGCACAGAGGTTTTCCGAGGCTCTGACTGCAAAGAATTTACACAGACATGGCTGTGACATGGGGGTCAGATGCTGTCACGGTGACTCTGAATCCCAGAGCTGGCCGAGAGCATCTTGTGTTCAGCCATGAGGGCAGCAGTCAATGCAGAAGTGAGAACAGAATCTCCTTACCTGGAGGGGGCGCTTCAGGAGCTAGAGAAGGAGCGGGTCTCCAGCAACGTCCATCCCTGTGTCTTAACACTTTAAAAATAAAAGGTGGGGGGCAGGATGGGGAGGAATTCCCAGTGGTTAAGACACCACGCTCTCAGCCAAAGGCCCGGGTTTAATCGCTGGTCGGGGAACTAAGGTCCTGCATGCTCTGCAGTGCAGCCAAAAAAAAAAAAAAATTCTTTTAAGTAACAAATTTTCAAAAAAGGAAGTAGCCCAGAAAGGGGCTGGTTTACCCGAAGCTTGTTTTCTTGTTCGTTCACTGATTCATCAATGTTTACTGAGCGCCCGGTGCCAGGCACTGCAGGTCCTGATTGGACTCTGCTAATGGGAAGCCCGCCTACAGTGAGGGAGGCAGAAGTGACTCCTATGATTATCAAGTGGGAGGGCGCCATCACGTGGGCTTAGAGGGGCAGGAGCCAAATTCTAGGGGACCCTTGAAGGCACAATTGAGAGACGTGGCGGGGGTGGGGGGTGACCAGGTGACTTCCAGACAGAGGAATGGGGTGAGGGCGGCTGTGGGGTGTTTGAGGCCAGAAGGGCTCTTGGGCGACGCTGCTGATGGCTGTCTGATGTTTGTCATTTCTTTGTAAACAACTGTGTGTACACATCTGGTAGTTATTAACAAAGCAAGACGATTTTTTAAGGCAGGTTACAAAACAGCCCTGTTGTTTGTCAGGAAAGAATGGCAAAATCTTGGCAGGAGGTCACAGATCAGAACTCTTACTCAAAAGGAGGGGGTTGGAAATCCCCAGGCCTCACCTGTCCGGAGGAATGGAGCCGGGGCCTGCCCGTCCCAGCCCTCCTCCTGGCTGCAAAGCCGCATGACCTTCCAGGGGGCCGGGGGAGGGATACAGGCGAGGGGCCTACAAGGTTTTTTTAAATGTAGTTGGAAAGGCTCTCATGCCCCTCAGATCTCCACCGCTGTCCAGCTCACCTTCCAAAAGCCCAGGCTGAAGGGAACACCTCTGAGACAGTCACAGCTTCACCAGCGCTCCATGGCACAGCACTCCACAGTCTGCACAGACCCTTTATATGTGACCCTGAAGCACCCAGGAATTATAGCCCATTTTACGGGTCCAATAACCAAGACTTGATGAGGGGGCGGGCCTTGGCCAAAAGCTCCATGTCCAATGGCAGAGGTGGAGCCAGAACCCTGGTCAGCTCCCAGCAGTGGCCCTGCCCTGCCTCTCAGGGGAAAGGAGGGTCCATGTGGGCAGGTGGGACTCTGCCAGGGAGTGCCAGCCTGGGGCAGGGAGCACACAGCGGGACTGAGTGAACAGCTGGCTTCCTGGGGGTGGGGGTGGAGATGCCCAGGGTCTGGACAAAGCTGCTCGGGCATTTGTGCCTCTCAGTGGGACGTGACTCCACTCCAGCTCCACTCCCACGACTGGGCGCCAGGCCTGGGCTGAAGCTTCACCTTCAGAAGCTGGGGAGAGTGAGGATCAGGGCGGGAAGGGACTTGTCAGGTCTACGAACAACATGAAGAGGAGGAGGGGACTTCCCTGGTAGCCCAGAGGTTAAGAACCCCACCTGCCGGTGCAGGGGACACGGGCTTGATGCCTGGTCCAGGAAGATCCCACATGCTGTGGAGCAAACGAAGCCTCTGCACCACAACTACTGAGCCCGAGCTCTAGAGTCTGCAAGCTGCGACTACCAAAGCCCCCACGCCCTAGAGCCCTTGTTCTACAACAAGAGAAGCACCACTCCCTGCAACTAGAGAGAAAGCCTGCACGCAGCACTGAAGGCCCGGTGCAGCCAGAAATAATTTTTTTTTTAATTTTAAATAATGTGTTTTTTTTTTTAAAGAGGAGATGAGATGTGAACCCAGGGCCATCTGTGCAGACAGCATGGAGCTTGGTGAGCACACTTAGTGGGTGGGCTTTGCATCAGGAGGCTTCAGAGAGCAGGCGGCTGCGACAGGCCTGGGCCGCGCGAGTGATGCGGTGACCATGGCGACCTCGCCTTCGGCCATCAGAGGGCGGGTGCTGGGCCAGCAGGGCCTCTGTCCCCGAGGAAGCAGGAACTGGGTCCCTCGGCACACCGCTCAGGAATGCAGCGCCTTTGAGACCCAAGAAGCCAAGCTTACCAGACCCCAGCCTATTTGGGGCCATCTACAGAGGCAGAAAGAGGGGGTTCAACTGGGGTTCATATCCTGGTTCTCAGCTTGCTGGCTTGCTCACTACATACGTCTGGACTCCACCCCCAGCACCACGGCCACTGCCCTGGGCTGGGCCTCTGTCATCTCTGGCTTGGATGTTTAGAAAGGAGCCCATGGATTTCTTTATGCCTCTTCCTGCCCTCTTCCGTCCACACTCCACAGGGCAGCCAGGAAAATATCTGAAATGAAAATCTGATCGCATGTTTCCCTGCATAAGCCCGTTCCCCCCAG